CCCCAGAAGTGACTCGAACCCATACTCCCAGAAGCAACGCATCTGGTATGTACAAGACGCCTTAATCCACTTGACCATCACGACCGGACAAAATGAGGTGATAGCCGAGGCTATTTGAACCACCCCACCGCCGGCACTCGGATAGTTATCTTGGGCATAGCATTTTACCAAATCACCTCATTCTTTGGGGCAACACGTGAGGAACACAAATGCGAACAAGCCTGAATGGTCCCCAGGACATATGCAACTGAAAACTCACACCCCAGAAGTGACTCGAACCCATACTCCCAGAAGCAACGCATCTGGTATGTACAAGACGCCTTAATCCACTTGACCATCACGACCGGACAAAATGAGGTGATAGCCGAGGCTATTTGAACCACCCCACCGCCGGCACTCGGATAGTTATCTTGGGCATAGCATTTTACCAAATCACCTCATTCTTTGGGGCAACACGTGAGGAACACAAATGCGAACAAGCCTGAATGGTCCCCAGGACATATGCAACTGAAAACTCACACCCCAGAAGTGACTCGAACCCATACTCCCAGAAGCAACGCATCTGGTATGTACAAGACGCCTTAATCCACTTGACCATCACGACCGGACAAAATGAGGTGATAGCCGAGGCTATTTGAACCACCCCACCGCCGGCACTCGGATAGTTATCTTGGGCATAGCATTTTACCAAATCACCTCATTCTTTGGGGCAACACGTGAGGAACACAAATGCGAACAAGCCTGAATGGTCCCCAGGACATATGCAACTGAAAACTCACACCCCAGAAGTGACTCGAACCCATACTCCCAGAAGCAACGCATCTGGTATGTACAAGACGCCTTAATCCACTTGACCATCACGACCGGACAAAATGAGGTGATAGCCGAGGCTATTTGAACCACCCCACCGCCGGCACTCGGATAGTTATCTTGGGCATAGCATTTTACCAAATCACCTCATTCTTTGGGGCAACACGTGAGGAACACAAATGCGAACAAGCCTGAATGGTCCCCAGGACATATGCAACTGAAAACTCACACCCCAGAAGTGACTCGAACCCATACTCCCAGAAGCAACGCATCTGGTATGTACAAGACGCCTTAATCCACTTGACCATCACGACCGGACAAAATGAGGTGATAGCCGAGGCTATTTGAACCACCCCACCGCCGGCACTCGGATAGTTATCTTGGGCATAGCATTTTACCAAATCACCTCATTCTTTGGGGCAACACGTGAGGAACACAAATGCGAACAAGCCTGAATGGTCCCCAGGACATATGCAACTGAAAACTCACACCCCAGAAGTGACTCGAACCCATACTCCCAGAAGCAACGCATCTGGTATGTACAAGACGCCTTAATCCACTTGACCATCACGACCGGACAAAATGAGGTGATAGCCGAGGCTATTTGAACCACCCCACCGCCGGCACTCGGATAGTTATCTTGGGCATAGCATTTTACCAAATCACCTCATTCTTTGGGGCAACACGTGAGGAACACAAATGCGAACAAGCCTGAATGGTCCCCAGGACATATGCAACCTCGGCTATCACCTCATTTTGTCCGGTCGTGATGGTCAAGTGGATTAAGGCGTCTTGTACATACCAGTTGCGTTGCTTCTGGGAGTATGGGTTCGAGTCACTTCTGGGGTGTGAGTTTTCAGTTGCATATGTCCTGGGGACCATTCAGGCTTGTTCGCATTTGTGTTCCTCACGTGTTGCCCCAAAGAATGAGGTGATTTGGTAAAATGCTATGCCCAAGATAACTATCCGAGTGCCGGCGGTGGGGTGGTTCAAATAGCCTCGGCTATCACCTCATTTTGTCCGGTCGTGATGGTCAAGTGGATTAAGGCGTCTTGTACATACCAGATGCGTTGCTTCTGGGAGTATGGGTTCGAGTCACTTCTGGGGTGTGAGTTTTCAGTTGCATATGTCCTGGGGACCATTCAGGCTTGTTCGCATTTGTGTTCCTCACGTGTTGCCCCAAAGAATGAGGTGATTTGGTAAAATGCTATGCCCAAGATAACTATCCGAGTGCCGGCGGTGGGGTGGTTCAAATAGCCTCGGCTATCACCTCATTTTGTCCGGTCGTGATGGTCAAGTGGATTAAGGCGTCTTGTACATACCAGATGCGTTGCTTCTGGGAGTATGGGTTCGAGTCACTTCTGGGGTGTGAGTTTTCAGTTGCATATGTCCTGGGGACCATTCAGGCTTGTTCGCATTTGTGTTCCTCACGTGTTGCCCCAAAGAATGAGGTGATTTGGTAAAATGCTATGCCCAAGATAACTATCCGAGTGCCGGCGGTGGGGTGGTTCAAATAGCCTCGGCTATCACCTCATTTTGTCCGGTCGTGATGGTCAAGTGGATTAAGGCGTCTTGTACATACCAGATGCGTTGCTTCTGGGAGTATGGGTTCGAGTCACTTCTGGGGTGTGAGTTTTCAGTTGCATATGTCCTGGGGACCATTCAGGCTTGTTCGCATTTGTGTTCCTCACGTGTTGCCCCAAAGAATGAGGTGATTTGGTAAAATGCTATGCCCAAGATAACTATCCGAGTGCCGGCGGTGGGGTGGTTCAAATAGCCTCGGCTATCACCTCATTTTGTCCGGTCGTGATGGTCAAGTGGATTAAGGCGTCTTGTACATACCAGATGCGTTGCTTCTGGGAGTATGGGTTTGAGTCACTTCTGGGGTGTGAGTTTTCAGTTGCATATGTCCTGGGGACCATTCAGGCTTGTTCGCATTTGTGTTCCTCACGTGTTGCCCCAAAGAATGAGGTGATTTGGTAAAATGCTATGCCCAAGATAACTATCCGAGTGCCGGCGGTGGGGTGGTTCAAATAGCCTCGGCTATCACCTCATTTTGTCCGGTCGTGATGGTCAAGTGGATTAAGGCGTCTTGTACATACCAGATGCGTTGCTTCTGGGAGTATGGGTTCGAGTCACTTCTGGGGTGTGAGTTTTCAGTTGCATATGTCCTGGGGACCATTCAGGCTTGTTCGCATTTGTGTTCCTCACGTGTTGCCCCAAAGAATGAGGTGATTTGGTAAAATGCTATGCCCAAGATAACTATCCGAGTGCCGGCGGTGGGGTGGTTCAAATAGCCTCGGCTATCACCTCATTTTGTCCGGTCGTGATGGTCAAGTGGATTAAGGCGTCTTGTACATACCAGATGCGTTGCTTCTGGGAGTATGGGTTCGAGTCACTTCTGGGGTGTGAGTTTTCAGTTGCATATGTCCTGGGGACCATTCAGGCTTGTTCGCACATATATATATATATATATATATATATATATATATATATATATATATATATATATATATATATATATATATATATATATATATATATATATATATATATATATATATATATATATGTCGTACCTAGTAGCCAGAACGCACTTCTCAGCCTACTATGCAAGGCCCGATTTGCCTAATAAGCCAAGTTTCATGAATTAATTGTTTTTCGACTACCTAACCTACCTAACCTAACCTAACCTAACTTTTTCGGCTACCTAACCTAACCTAACCTATAAAGATAGGTTAGGTTAGGTTAGGTAGGGTTGGTTAGGTTCGGTCATATATCTACGTTAATTTTAACTCCAATTAAATAAAATTGACCTCATACATAATGAAATGGGTAGCTTTATCATTTCATAAGAAAAAAATTAGAGAAAATATATTAATTCAGGAAAACTTCGCTTATTAGGCAAATTGGGCCTTGCATAGTAGGCCGAGAAGTGCGTTCTGGCTACTAGGTACGACATATATATATATATATATATATATATATATATATATATATATATATATATATATATATATATATATATATATATATATATATATATATATAATGTATATATATATATATAAATATATATTGGCTCTTGATTGCTGGTTTTGACTTGAGGGTTCTAAATGCGGTAAACAATTTGTTCCCTTTCTGTTTTTTTTTATATTAGATTCATCCTCTCTATTGGCTCAAGGTTATAATCCCTCTATTATTTAATTAAAAGAACTTGTGATGCAGCTGCTGTCTCTTCCACATCATATACACTAAATATTCCCTTATTATATAGGTCCTTGAATTGATTGCATTCAGTTCTGCTTTTGTGAAAATTATTACACCTTTTGCTCTTGTTGTTAGGTCTTTTTTGAATGGTAGATAGAGTAATGTAATCACTTTAATTTCGCACCTGCTTGTCGGTTGAGATATTTAGTGGGTTGTGAGTTACCATAGAGAGAACCTTGTTCTATTCATCTCCTTCTGTCGTCATCACATGGCCTTTCCAAATCTATTAGCATTAAATGTGTGTTTTGAGGCAAGCTTCTCCCCATTAATTTATCCAAATTCAATTCTCAATTCTGTATCCTGTATTCTCGAAGTCTGTTAAACTAACCTATCTACCAAGAAATATTCAGATTGTGAACCTTGCGTATAAATTTTTCTAGTATTTGCTCATTGTTTTATTTGTGATATTTTCCCTTCTCTTTTGAATTATTTCTTAATAATAGTGTTTTTTTCAGTTTTTTGTCTCTAAAGCGTCTGTATCTTTCCAAATCTCTACCTCAATTCCATTGTTTATCCAGTTTATTGCATTATTCTCTGGTTTATACTTATTGCTGCAATATTAAAGGCCCCAAATTTATTTTTATTTATTATCGAAAATTTTAAACTGTTGCATCAGTTCCTTCTTTCCACGATGTCATTATTTTTTACCATAAGCGCAATTTTAGCGCGAGCAGGAGAAGGGCTCAAGGCATCACATTCTGATGGATAATAAATGTTTTATTATTTAAATAAAATAAGATAATATCTAAATAAATAAAATAAGATAATAATTATTTAGATAATATCTAAATAATAAAATAAGATATCTCTAAAATAAGTGTTTAAAATTACCAAGATTTCATTAAATCGCTATATATTCGTAGAGAATATCTTGCATTATGTACAATCACAGAAAAGATTCAATATTTATACTTTTCCAGATTCTGGCAGCGCTTCACTCTGTTCCTTTTGATGGCTCTATGTTGGACCACAGAGATTCTTTCATGGAAAATTCCTCCCCCTGAACTATGGTGAGGCTTGAGATCTATTCATACATGTTTTCTTTCCATTTCTCAATTTAGATTTTTTGGACTTTTGTAAAAGTGGCAGATATTAAAGCAGACACCAGTTAATACATAGTAATGTTTACTATAAGTTGTTAAAAATATATATACCTGCAGTATGGTATGGATAGTTTTATAATATTTTTTTAATTCAGTATGTTGCCTTAAATTCATGAGGCCCGTGCGACAACATTGAAAAAATGCTGTCAAGTAACTTTTGTTGGTGTAACAATTGGTATGAAAATACCTAGGTGTAATTAACCGAGTGTAGTTATATGACGAAGCTTATGACAGTGTTGCCAAACTTGGCTAATTGTATTTTATTTCATGCCAGCTAATCTGTTTGAATAATAATAATATTTATTTGTTTTTGCTGATTTTCGTTTTAGTAATTCATGTGTGTGAACTCGTGAAAATAACTTTTTATTAATATAAATAATTTCCGTTACAATAATTTAATGTGATGTTCTAGCATAGTATCAGTCAGAATGTTTACTAATAAAAATATCGACGAGAAAATCAACCAGAGGTCTGAGGTGACTCGAACCAGCGACCATGGAGTACCCAACCGCTCAAGTTACCTCTGTACGACCACGTCTTGGTTTGTTATATAACCTGGCAGTCTATTGAATCTACTGGAAGCCTGGAGGATCCTAATGATGCCAGTCCACTTTTTACGTAAAACCTCCAAGCACTCAGGAATAGGCAACATAGTTCAATCTATTCAGTAGAATCACAAGTTGTATAACATAAGCAATTTGTGGTGGTACAGAGGTAACGTGAGTGGTTGGGTGCAAATTGGTCGCTGGTTCGAGTCAGCTTAGAGCTTCAGTGGATTTTATCAATAATGTTACTCTGAAGGACAATGACAGATACATCAGAGTAATGTGACACTGGTGGACCATGACAGCTACATTAGAGTAATGTGACACTGGTGGACCATGACAGCTACATTAGAGTAATGTGACACTGGTGGACCATGACAGCTACATTAGAGTAATGTGACACTGAAGGAGCATGACGGATACATCAATGTAATGAGACACTGAAGGACCCTTCCAGATATATTAGAGTTATGTGACACTGAAGGACCATGACAGATACATCAGTGAAATAAGACACTGAAGGACCCTTCCAGATATATTAGAGTTATGTGACACTGAAGGACCATGACAGAAACATCAGAATAATGAGACACGAAGGACCATGACATATATATTAAAGTATTGTGACACTGAAGGACCCTGACATACATATTAGAGTAAAATGACACTGAAGCACTATGACATATTCACCAGAGTAATGTGATACTGAAGGTCCATGACATATCCTAGATTTATGTGACACTGAATGACCCTGACAGATATATCAGTGTAATGTGACACTGAAAGACCATGGTAGATACATAAGAGTAATGTGACACTGAAGGACTATGACAGATACTTCGAATTAATGTGACACTGAAGGACCATGACAGATACACCAGAGTAATATGACACTGAAGGACACTGCCATACGTCACAGTAATGCGACAATGAAAGACTATGACTGATACATCAGAGTAATGAGACACTGGAGGACCATGATAGATTCTTCAGAGTAATGTGAGACTGAAGGACTATGACGTTCATCAGAGTAACGTAACACTAAAATACCCTGAGAAATACATCAGTGAAATATGACACTGAAGGACCATATCCTGAGGTTATCTTGAGATGATTTCGGGGCTTTTTAGTGTCCCCGCGGCCCGGTCCTCGACCAGGCCTCCACCCCCAGGAAGCAGCCCGTGACAGCTGACTAACACCCAGGTACCTATTTTACTGCTAGGTAACAGGGGCATAGGGTGAAAGAAACTCTGCCCATTGTTTCTCGCCGGCGCCTGGGATCGAACCCAGGACCACAGGATCACAAGTCCAGCGTGCTGTCCGCTCGGCCGACCGGCTCCCTGAGAGATATATCTAAATAATGTGACACTGGAGGACCATGATCGATTCTCCAGAGTAATGAGATACTGAAGGACTATGTCAGATACATCATGCGACTGATACATCAGAGTTAGACGACACTGAAGGACCATGAGAGATTCAGCTGAGTAATGTGACACTGGAGGACCATATCAGATATATAAAAGTAATGTGACACTAAAGGACCTTGACGTACATAAGAGTAATGCGACACTGTAGAACCCTGACATATATCAGAGTAATGGGACACTGAAGGACCCCTGACATACATCAGAGTAATGTGACACTGAAGGACCATGACAGATACATCAGAGAACTGAGACACTGAAGGACCCTGACATACATCAGAGTGATGTGACGCTGTAGATCTCTGACAAATCAAAGTAATGTGACACCGAAGGACAATGACAGATACATCAGTGTACTGTGACTCTGAAAGACCATGACAGATACATGAGAGTAGTGTGACGCTGAAGGATCATTACAGATACTTTAGAGTAATGTGACACTGACGTTCTAAATCAGAAATCTCAGAGTAATGTGGTACTCAAGGACCATTACAGATACGTCAGAGTAATGTGTCACTGACATACAATAGAGTACTATGACACTGAAGGGCTATGACAGATACATCACAGTAATGTGACTCTCAAGTACTATGACATACATCAGAGTAATATGATACTGAAGGACCATGACATATTTTAGAGTAATGTGACACTAAAAGATTCTGACATACAACAGAAAGAATTTATCCTGGAGCTCATCACATTCTGTATCTGCAGGTGACTCATAGTCAGACAATAAAGTGAGCTGTTTACTTGTTTTGGCTACTAGTTTCATAGTTGGTTTCTCCAATCTTTTCTTTGCATGATTTAATAATTTTTGAGATTTTTGTGAGTTTGAGAGCAGTTGATCAATACTGGTTTCTCTGCACTTTTAAGTGGGACAAGATATTGGTTTTGCATCTGGTGGGTCGAGATTATCACTAAAGTTTACATTGTACGGAGGGGGGGGGGGCATGGGTGTCAGTGAAGAAAGCTGTAGAGAGCTACTGAAGGGCCATCCATAGAGAAGATTTTCAAATTACATTCATTACTGTATTTACTATTTACACGATTGTTTATATTCACATTTAATACTATTAGTTATGTTTTAACAGGTTCTTGACTGATGTTTTAAACTCACTGCAAGGATTTATTATCTTCTTGATCTTCATTAGTGGAAAGAAAAAACGTGAACTAGTACGAGATGCTTTGACTGGAACCATTTCTGCAGTGTCAAATGCGGCGAGGAAGATATCTATGAGTAATGACACTGCGGCCACCTGGCATCAAGATACAAACTCCACATCAGTTTTAATGCATCATCAAACACATGGGATGACATATTTAGCAACAAATTCTATGGAAGAAAAGAGAGACAATTAACACAATGCAATATAAAAAAAAAATTAGCTACAAGATGCAAATCTCACTTGAAAATAATATTCATGTGTTATTTTGAATAACAATTATCGAAAGTAAGTGTAGCCAAACCATAAAGGCTCAGTGCTCCCAGAAGACACTCATTAATTACAACAATATCTCTTTTGTATCAAATATTTAAGTTCTGCTTATAGAGTATAGATTTTGATTGTGTATTTTGTTATGATATTTGGTAGTCTAAAATCTCTAGGAGGGAAGGTGGTGAACTGGACTAATTATAAAACAGTATTTGTACTCAAATTATTTATTGTATACACGAAAAACAAATTGTCTGAAACAAACTGGTATACAATTTTTTTTAATTTTCATGTTTACCTCCAGCAGAACATAATAATTTATCAATGATAAAATAAAACCCAATTAATAGAAGTACTGTGATACAGAGGAGCTAATAATAATCTGTTAGTGGGAGGCACCAGGATTCTTACTAATAGATTATTGTTCCCTACAAAACTCAGTGTAGTGTTGTACAACAACATTACATTGCAACTGCTGCTCCCTTAAACAATCTCCATCCCTCTATAACCCTCAACCTGTATTATATTTAAAATGTTGTTTACAGTTGTCTTAATAATCTACAGTTACTTTACCATATGTAACTAAATTATTATTGCTTCAAGTAAAATCATACTTCTGTGTTTTCTGATTAGCTAGCTGCTTGAATCCACTTTACGATATTGTTGTTTATACTTTACCAAACTTTTTCCTTACCCTAATATCTTACCCCAGAATTAGTGTATTTTATTGTTTTATTTGTTAGTGTTAATAATAATAATAATAATAAAAATAATAATAATAATAATAATAATAATAATAATAATAATTATATTATTATTATTATTATTATTATTATTATTAACATTATTATTATTATTATTATTATTATTATTACTATTATTATTATTTAGAAAATCCGTAGGAGCTATGATGAGGATTCGAACCTATGCACTGGATATTCCCTGGCACAAACCCTATACATCCAGGCCACGACATGGTCAAAATAATGGCAACTCGAGGTTCTACTGAACCCACGAGGATTACCGAGGCTTTCACTGAAGCCACACTAGGGTTTCGCACACAACCCCCCCCCCCTCCCCCATGCTCTCTCGCTCGATCAGGTAAGAATTTTTCTCCTCTGACACTCCTCTTTCATACATTAAGAGTAATCACACTAATGTGATGTAGCAACGAGAAAAGCCTTAGGAGCCGTGAAGAGGTTTTAATCCTTTGTGCTGGATATTTCCAGGCACACGCAGACAACCAGGCCACGGCATGGTCAAAAGGATTGCAACCTGAGGTTCTCGTTGATACATCATGTTAGTGTGATTTCTCTCTGTGTATTAAAGAAGAGCGTCAGAGGAGAAACATTCTTACACGACCGAGCCAGAGTGCATGGGGTGATTGTGTGAAACCCTGGTTCGGTATCAGTGGAAGCCTTGGGAATCCTCCTGGGTTTAGTAGAACCTCAGGTTGCAATCTTTTTTACCATGCCGTTGCCTGATTGGCTGGTGCATGTGACTAGGAATATTTAGTGCATAGGTTCAAATCCTCATCACTGCTCCTATGGATTTTCTCATTGATACATCACATTAATGTGATTGTCTCATTGAATATTATTATTATTATTATTATTATTATTATTATTATTATTATTATTATTATTCAGAGTAATCACACTAACGTGACTGCATCAGTGAGAAAATCCGTAGGAGCCATGATGAAGGTTCGAACCTATGTGTAGGGTGTTCCCACGCACATGCTCTAGATGACTAGGCAACTCCATGGTATAAGGGTTGAAACTTGGTCCTCGACCAGGTCTCCTGATTGCTGGACTGGTCAGCCAGACTGTTAGACGTGGCTGCTCGCAGCCTGACGTACTAATCACTGCCTGGTTGATCAGGTATCCTTTGGAAGTAGTTATCAAGTTCTCTTAACACTGTGAGGGGGGGTCTGCAAGTTATGCCTCTTATGTCTAGTGGAAGCGTATTGAATAGTCTAGGTCCTCTGATGTTGATACAGCTCTCTCTCTCAGAGTATCTATTGGACCTCTGCTTTTCAACGGGGGTATTCTGCACATTCTGCCATGCCTTCTGGTCTCATGTAATGTTATTTATGTGTGCAGGTTTGGGACCAGCCCCTCAAATATTTTCCGCGTGTAAATTATTATGTATCTCTCACACCTATGCTCAAGAGAATTCAGATCTAGGCATTTAAGTCGGTCCCAATATTTTAAATGTTTTACTGAGTGGATTCAAGCAGTAATGGATCTCTGCACGCCTTCCAGGTCAGCAATTTCTCCTGCTTTGAAAAGGACTAGCATTGTGCAATAGTATTCCAGTCATTTTTCTTGCAAATGTAATGGATACCTTATTGTGCTCTTTAAAGTTAAGATCTTCCAACATGAGTACATTCAAATCCTTTACATTTTTTTTTCGTTCTATATTTTGATTTGACTGAATTTTGTACGTATCATCTTTTGCAAAAGATGATACGGTACGGTATAGTGTGTGTCCTTGTCTGTGTCCGATATGAGGATGAGAAAAAGTACTGGAGTAAGCACAGTACCCTTGGGGGACCGGGTAGATTTCTGTTTGTCAGGAAATTGTAGTTTCATCTGTCTATTTTTCCGGTAATTCTTTTTGAACGCATTTTGTGGGCAATAACACCTCGGTCATATTTGTCGAAGACTTTTGCGAAATCTGTGCAAATTAGATCGGCGTTTTGCTTGTCTTTCATGGCATCTAAGGCCATGTCATAGTGGTCCAGCAAATGTGATAGGCAAGAGCGCCTTCATCTGAAACCATGTTGTTCAGGGTTATTGAGATGCTGAGATTCCATGTATTTTGTGATCTTACTTCTTAGCACTTTTTCAAAGATTTTATTCATGTGTCATGTTAGTGTTATCGTCTTTAATTTTTTGCCTCTGCCTTATTTCCTCCTTTATGGAGTGGTTCTATCTCTGCTATATTTAGTATGTCAGGGATAACGCCAATAACTAGGCTCTGCCTTCAAATAATGTGATGGGCCTGCGATAGTGTTTTTTACAGTTCTTGATGAATATAGAGTTCCAAGGATCGGCCTTGTGCATAGGCATACTGTCTATGGCTCCTTTAAAAACCAGTGGGGATAGGGAGACATTTGCTATATAATTTGATGTTGGTATCACATGCATGAAAAATTAATCATTTGGATTATCAATTTTTAGTGTGTTTACTGAAGCTCGCTCAAGTCGTACTGATTCTACAGTATTTAGCTCATTTCTTTGTTGGCAACTGTGAAAGTTCTATCTCTCTTTCGCAGAGGCCCGATACTAGATGTAGTTTTTGATCATGTTCGGATTTCTGTCTATTTCACTGATGGGCTTTTGTTCTCTTGACTCTCTTGGATTTTGTATGATTCTCGTAGCTTCATTTCAATAGTTTCTCACCGCATGAGCTCGAAACCTCATCGTGGATCCTATGGATTTTATCCTTATTATTATTAATATTATTATTATTGTTATATATAAAAATGTTGATGATCAGATTAGTGTTTACTGAAGGAACAAAATTTCTATATTTTTACAATCAAAATAAAGAATGAATAAAGATTAATAAATTTCGGGATCTTGCCTATCTTGCCAAGGTTTTGTTTTATGGCATTTTATATTTTACAGTTTTTGTTCTTTGACATTTGCACTTGTTGTATAAAATACCCCATGATGCTGTCGAACAAATGCCTGAATATGCATCCACGAAAGTTAAGTAATGACTGTCAGGAAAGTTATATGGTGAAAGCTATCATATAACATACGGGTATGTGGTGACAAGTTATATGGTGAAAGGTTATGTGGTGACAAGTTATGTGGTGACAGGTTATGTGGTGACAGGTATGTGGTGACAAGGTATGTGGTGAAAAGTTATGTGGTGACAAGTTATGTGGTGACAAGTTATGTAGTGCCTACATATTGGTCAACATATTTCAGGAACATATTTGTGACTCCTCGTCTATATATGTGGTGGCTAGTTATATGGTGACAAGTTATGTGGTAATGTGGTAAGTGGTAACACGTTATGTGGTGACAAGGTATGTGGTAACAAGTTATGTTATGTCAAGTTATGTGGGGACCTAATTTTAAACTCTCTATTCCAGTTTTAGATCTTGGCTGCTGCAGGAAGTGTTTGAATACTCCAGATGCATTTTGTTATATATATGGAATTTTTACTATACCCAGTCAAAGGACGAATATAATTGAAAAAATGCACAAGGGCCGTGACGAGGATTCGAACCTACGTCCGAGAGCATCCCAGACGCTGCCTTAATCGACTGAGCTACGACATGGTCAAAAGAATTAAGATCAGAAGTTCTACTGAACTTACTTGGATCCTGCAGCCTCTCCGAGACACAAACCAGGGTTTTACACAACTCCCCCATGCACTCGAGCTATGTCAATAGGCTGTTCTACCTCTTCGCCCTTACTTCATTACACACAGAAATCACAATAACGTGATGCATCAAATGAACAAATCCACAAGGGATTTGTTCATTTGATGCATCACGCTATTGTGATTTCTGTGTGTGACGAATATTATTGATTTTGTGTAGGTGTACTTGTGAGAAATATTTTCCACTTATAAGACAATGTTCTGCTTAATAAATATCTCTAATAATATATGACTATGAAGATTCCTGCTTTCATAAGCTTATAAGACTAACCACAAATTACTGACATTTAAGCTAAGAGGATTCGAACTCTTTTCATAAATTATAACTTGAACTAAAATGCACATAACCAGATTGTTGCTAATAAGTCTGTGGCCGCAATTCGGCCAAAATCTTCCCACTTTTCTGTGACTATGAAGCTATTATATGTAACTGTTGATTCTCACTATTAATCTAAGTGAAGGACATCAAATTTAACGTTTTAAAAGTCCATTTGATTATTTAAATAAATCTTAAGACAAGAAATTAATAGATACTCCCGATATGAGAATCAGTCGCTAACTTCACACATAAACGGGGGTGTGGGAGGGCGGAGGCTACATCTCGCCCCAAATTTGCTAGCTTGATACGACACACGTTGACCAGCCCAGCACCTATTGGATGATTTTCCTCACCTAGTGGTAAAAGACCATTGAGAAGTTCATGTTCGACATGCTAAGATCCAACCCATTACTAAGAACCAACCCATAATCTAAGATAAGATTACACTAAGTAATCTCGGAGTTTTACCATGGAAAAATGGTAAAACGTTTGGTAAAAATGGTAAATATATCTAATATCTAGATAGCATTTGATCAGGAACTAAATGAGGTGAATAGGCCGGATATGGGAATAAGTAGTAAAATATATATTTACGAAGTTTACATGAGGGGCCCCTAACTAAAGTGGCCTCAACGAGGACAGGAAACCGGCGGTTTGTCGAAGGTCCCCATTTGCCATGACGAAGTTTTCCAAGTATATTTTACAACTCAGCACCAGTTTAAACAGTTACGGCTTCGGCAGGTAGACGGTTTCATGGGTTAATAACCCTATGGGTGAAAAGGCGTCTCCTGTTCTCTGTCTTACATTGTGGCGTGTTGAGCTTGAAACCGGTGCTCATTGTTTGTGTTACATCTGGCCTTCTGAAGAAAATATCCGGATCAACATCGTCTTGTTCAGTATTTTAAAAGTTTCAATGCGATCTGCCCCGTCAAGCCTGGTTTGGAGTGTTTTTAGCCCTGTGGCCTTTAAGCGTTCATGATACGAGAGATGACTTAGCTCAGGGATGATTTTTGTTGCCCGGTGTTGCAGCTTCTCCAGAGCAGC